GGAAACAAAGATTTCTCCTTTGCCCAACTCTGGAGTGCTTCACAAGGTCTCAACACCAAACTCCCTGCACACAAATGTCACAGCCCTTCACAGGACAGTCAGGCAAAATATAAGAATGTGAAACCTGTTCCAAACGTCAAGGAAAACAAGGCACATACCAGGACATATGAGACCGTTAAGACTTCTCAGGGGCCTCTAAATTCGAGCCAACTCTTAAGTCCTCTTGCTGTGAATTACTAATAATCACAAAACTCTGCTCTTAGAGTCACGGGAACACCTTTCCAAACCTAGTTATTTATAAGAGCAGAAGTCCTAAAAATCTACTCAGACAAAGCACTTGCCTCAGTCAACACGCTGAGTGACTATTTTAATGTAATTTGCTTCCTCTCTCCCAGGAATTATACTGCTTAACTTCCATTTCCCTAAAATAATAACATTAAGGAAGACAACACCTCCTCGAGCAAGACCACCTGAGTCTGTGACCAGACTGCTTAGACTTACCACCTCTCTGGTCAACGGCAGGGAGGGAACGAGAAGGAGGCTCAAGTCGCCATCATTTCAGCTTAAAGGACAAAGCAGGGGCTGAAGACCCCAAAACTGAGGAAGACTTTACTTTTACTAACAAGGAAAATAACTGAAATGGTGAAATAAGGAAATTCACCTGCCTCTCACAAGACTTACCTGAACTAAAGTACGTCTTGCCTAGTTAGAAACCACTGCAAGTTTGTAAGCTGGGAAATGTTGCATTTATTAATTTCCCAACTTCTGATGTTTGGGAGGTCAATTACTCCACTGAAACATACTGGCAGAGTTCTGCAAGGCTGGGAACAGTCAGACTGCTCAGGTGTGCAGCGTGAATTCATGCGCAAGGAAACAACAGCATTTCTTCCCCACCCTACGCCGAACGGCCTTACCTCTGAGTCCTGCTGAGCCCATTCGTGCCTTCTCTTGCTGGTACAGATCTCTCTGCTGCTGGGTGAGGGCCAGGGTCTGCCCTGTACTTTGGTATGTGGTGCAATACTTAATCACCTGCTCATAAGCACCCTTCATAAAACAGATCTCTGGTCTGTCCTAAGAAGAAAACCAGCAAATAGATTCTGGTTACTTGTACTGCTACTGAAGTTCAGAAACAAGCGGCATACATTTCCGACGAGCCCAGGAGGGATCCCCAAGCCTAAGGCTTTGAATGGCACTTGAACTCTGATGACTGTTAGTTTTCTGCGTGGAGCTTTCTCAACTCTATATAGAAAATGGCCTCTACTCCCACCCCATCTGGTGAAAACAGTGCTATGTGACCCTGGGCCAGGCCCTCTGAGATCCAGGAGTACGCTCACAACATAGCAGAGAGGCGATCTAACACCAGCCCCCAGGAATGGTTCAGGCTGTGTGTGAGTCTGCCAGTTAATTCTCACAACCACCCTGTAATTATGGATATTTATCACTTTCCCTTTTATTTCTCATCCTAGCAAAGTCATTCAAAAGTATATACAAAATGTACAATGAAAAATCGCAATCCGCTGACCAAATCTTCTTACCCCTAGTCCTACTCCATAAAAGCAAACCAACTTTAACTCTTACAGTTGTTTTCCTTGGTGTCTTTCCCCATTTTTTTTTTATAGATTTATTCATATAGAACTGGGGTACAGGCCAGAGATGCGGAGGGTGAGAGGATTCACTAGACAGAAAGGGGAGCAGAACAGGCAGATGGACGCAGTACACTGCTGAGGGGAGCAGCGAGCAGGTCAGGAGAGGTCTGCCGCACCATGTGGATCTCCTCCGGGGCAGGAGGGAATCGAATTCATGCGGAAGTGGCTTAAGCTTCTTAGTGCTGTGCTTAACCTGCTGCGCCACCAGGGAGGGCCCTCTACCCTCATGTTTTTAAATAAACTTCCACTGGGACATTTTCACTTATCCACGTTACACTGTCTGACAGGTGCTGGTTTGGTGACTGCCAACTGCCCATTTCACCCCTCCCTCCCCAGTCCAACATAATACAATGTAACCTGCTCATTCCCTTAATGGGTCTCACTACTGGGTGCAGCAGCAGACCTTAGAGGAGCCCATGTGCACCCCAGAGGAGCCCATGTGCAAAGACCAGGACTGATTTCCCTGCCCCTCTCCCACTCAGGCAGGAATGGCAGCAGTTCCCAGTGAAAATGGAGGGACAGTGAATAATCTGCTATTCCTGCACCCTGCTATGACAGCATGTGCTCACGGAGAGGACAATGCCATCTGCCCAGCTCCCAAGTAACAAGTGAGCACATTTTGGGGGTGGGGAGCAGGAAATCATGATGATGTTTCCATGGCCTGTATAAACATTTATTTTCCTATTCAAGTTTTATCTTCTGTAGAGTTAGTAGTAGTCCCTATTTCCTTACTTTCTGTTACCTATCACTAACTATTCTGAACTCGCCCAAGCAGGATCAACAAGGCCAGCCACAGGACCCGATGAGCACGCCAGCCAGCATCCTGTCACTGCTGGCGGCCTCCCGCCACAAGCCTTGCTCTGCCCTTTTCTAGGCAGATGTGGGCTGACTTCTAGGCCTGCTGCACACAGGTGTTCAGGAACTTCCTTTCTTCTTCATCCTGGGGGTTCTTTTCACCCCATTCCTGGGGCAAGGCTCATCAGATTCTAACTCTCCCTTAGTTTATTCTTTCACTTAACAAGAACAGATTCACCAGTGTCTAGCTAAGAAAAGCTACATGCGATATACATTTTGAGACTTGGAATACATTTTGGAGACTTATTACACTTTAACAATTTTTATGCTATCTCTAATTTTTATAGATTAAACAGGGAACAAATTCCTTTCAATCCGAAGGCTTTGCTCATTATCTTCCAGCTTCCTGTGTACAATGTTGTATTTGGGAGGTCTAAAGAAGCTACTTTACTTCCTAAACCTTTGGACATAATCTTGTCCTCATCCTCCCTCTCTCCTGTCCCAAAACCTCTGGAAGCTTTTAGAATTCTCCCCTAAATGTACTCAAGTTTCTTGATTATGGGTCTTGTTTTTGTAGCTTCACCCCAGTTACCCATTTTTAACACACTCATTGTACTGAGCAGCTGGTGGGCAATTTTATTCTAAAAGCTGATGTCCTTCCTCTGGAAACCATCCTTGTGTATTTGAAAAAAATTCCCCAAAGAGAACTTCAGTTCTCTCTGCTTATAGCCACTATGAGGTGGATGCTGTATCTCTTGCTTATTTTCTGAGTTTTATACATGATCTTTTATGTTTTCCACTCTTTTAACTTTTCTACTTCCTTACAGATTCCTTGAGTTTATTTGAAAAACAATCTATTTTTGCTGTAATTTTTTATGGTCTGGAAATTTTCTTTAGCATCCAGCATTACCTTTTTTTTTCGAAGATGCCTTCCTGTTGACTTGGTCTTTCATACTGAAGACTCTTCTCAAATATCTAGCAATCCCTGACTGTCAGTCAAGAGTGAAGCAAATAAAGGTCTAGAAGCACTGGCAGAGTCTGCAGGCTGGTGGCCCTTCCTGCAGGGGCAGGAGATGGAGCCTGGAGTAGGTACGCTCTTCCAATGAGGAGAGCTTAGTTAGGAATACTCTACCAACAGACTCTCCCTGCAACCAGTTAGCTCCTCCCAAAATCCTTCAACCTGACCTATAGAACAAGGCTAGGGAGAGATTTCCCTACAGTATCCTGACCAGCATTTAGAGCCTATAGAGGCTTACTTATTAGGAAAATGACTTTCCCTTAATCACTCTCTTTTCAGTCTTAAACCTTAATTCTGCCCTCCATTCCTGCCCCCAAGATCAGAGTTCCAGTAGTATTCTACAGGGTTAAAGAGCTAGTTATTTGGCCTCAAGAAAAAGAAAAGGCACTTGGGCAAGAATTTCACCTGACCCTATGCCGAGGGCCTTATGCCTGAGCTCCTCCTGCAAAGATCTCTGGCACCCTGTATCTTCCCCACACTTTCTCTTCTTTTCAATTTATGTGTACTTGTTGGTTGTCATTTTAGCAGGTTCTGGAGCGACTAAACCTCAATGCATATTGTCCTATTAAAACGAAAGTCCTTGAAAGACACTGGGGTTTTTTCCAAGTTAGTAAGTCTAACCTGTCTGTGCCAAGCTATTCACATCTCACATAAGTAGTTTTAGATTTTGTTACCTCAACAGGGTTTTTTGTTTCTGTTTGCTGGGAAGAACAAACATGCAAATTCTTGCTTACATATCCTGCCATTCCCTCTCTCACAACCTCGCAAGAAAGAAGATTCAAACTTCCAACATACAACTTTGCTAAGATTCAAAAGTGCTAAAAATTCAAATCTTTAAACTTTACTTGAGTCACATTACTCTGAAGTACAATGTGATGGCATGTGAAGCATACAGAAATAGATCTTCCAAATAAACTCATGGGTATATTCTTGCTATATCACTATGTAATCTAGGGGGATCAGTTGAAAATTATCTACCATTAAATGTGATTTTTTTAAAGCTTTATTTACAAGGCTTAAACTAACAGACATCTTATTTTTATAGCTTTATTTCCTATTCTTCCCTTCCCTTACTTTCAAGCTCTCACAGAATCTTTTCTCCCTTTCTGACCAGATTCCTGGCATACTTGTACTCTCAAGCTCACTGTTGACCAACTTTTCCTTTCTTTTAAAACCAATGGTTTCCTACTTAGTAAGGGTAGGGGAACCCTCTCACTCTTTCTTGTCTATAAAAATTTAACTGGCTTCAAAATGTGTGCTCACAGGTGAAAGCACATAATCAACTATCAGTTCCTATCAAAGGAAATGTAAAAATAAGTATTTTTAAGGGCAAATTATGGTTAAGCATCCAACTGGTTATAGCAACGGAGTAGTATATATAGTATATAGTATGTAGTATGTACATAGCTATACACTGGAGATAAGTGAGAACTCGAACTGCATCAACTGTGTGAAAATCTAAAATACCAAGAAATAAGGTAGAGGCTTAACATATCAAGTCATATTACCAGCTTGTAAGCCTTATCAATTAACAAATCTTATACATATTTGTAACTACTTTTCCACAAAATGATGTGTCTTTGTTCTGAAGACAACCATGGATACAGATCAACAACAGCCAGTAGAAACCTATAATAAACTATGATCAAAAACAAAAAAGTCATTGAGATAACATGATGACAAAAGTTCCTGGAAACTGAGACCAGGCGCTAATTCATTTGTTTGTTGATATAACAGAATCAGATAAATACATACACGAATTCAAGGTAAACATAAGATTAACAAGGGAAAAGCATATAATAAATTATACACATTTTAAAACAATAGGTCGTTGTGATTTAATGACTGTTTCAATCTAGACAGTAAATGAAAAACAGTCATCTAGCTTAAAAAAGGTGTAACAGAAGGATACCTGCTGTGTTCGGTGTACACACTTAACAGCCATCCACTTTTGCTCAGAACTAAAAGGATATTCAGCTTTTCTGATATAGTCCTGTTGAAGTCCATCAAGACCCATCTATACAGCACAAAAAGAGAGTTAATTCTTACTAACATGACCATTTTTCTCTTTAACAAAGAACAAGAGTCACAACTCACAGCTAGGTAAGCAAGAGATAACTGGATTATTTTTCAAGTAATAATGAAATCTATATTATAGATCATCAGACCTAGACCATATTCCTATGCACAGCTGCATCCATGTTCAACATAGAAAGCCTGGGTTTACAGATATATTCTAAAGCATGCTATCAAATAGTCAATATTGCCTACATTGAAGTTTGTATGGGCTCAAATCCTGAAAGAAGTAGGGCACAAATAAAGGTACCAAAAAATACTGATCATGTACTGTTACAATCAATACAAGTTTCAGATTCAGTCCTTTACTTACAGGATTTAAATACATCTTGCCCATTGCTGCCACCCTACGTCACACACGACGTTCTACTCCTAATGTCACCCACTGTTCACCCAGCACCCTGTGCATTTTCCTCCATAATATTCTAAAGCTATCAACCTACTCAAAATCTAAGTTTAGAGTTTTTGTTGTATATTAAAACATGTTCAACTCCTCTTCCTGACTTCTAAAGATTCTCCAGAAATCCACAATACAGTCTGTTTACATTTTCCTGACTATTCAAACACCTTTTATTTCATCCATACTAACCAATCTGCAAACCACAATCCCCCTAGGCTTAATTACTCCTCTATGTTTTTACTGTAGCTGTCTCCCAACCGTACATCATATCTAAGCCCCTTTTCCCTGCAAAGTCCAGATCCCAAGCCTGAATCTTTACTGTTCTTACTTGTGGTTCAACGTTCAGGACTTGACCGTCTGTTGCCTTGACGTGCCTAGTTTTTGTTTTAAGCACGTCATGTAACTCCTTTTCCAAAAGTGAGGTAGGGAGGTGGCCTCAAACTATGTCTCAAAGAGTAAAAGTATGACACAGTAAATACTTGCTCACAAATTCCACATTTGAGTATCTTTTTAAAAAGCTACACTATGCTATTTTAGTAAAAGGACTAATAGTAAAGAAATTCCTGTTAAGGAAACATTTCCAAAAATACCGACTTTATGTTACTAACTTCAACATATTATAATAGTCTGTATTCCTACATTGGGCCTCACTTCAGACAACTGCACTTAAAGGAGCTTGACACGGGTGGGTTTCAAAGTTTCCTAAGAATACATCTTAAAAGCAGGTGCTTTCATTTGTTATGGAATTGTCAGGCTGGACATCTAGGCTTCTTACTTAAATCAATGTCAGACTTAGGAAGAGACAGATGAAAGGGCCACAGGACGGTAGCCTCTGTCCCCAAAACAAATTCTCTTCACTCATTTTAAGGAATTGATAATGGGTAGAACGGGAAGAAAATTGGAAAAAGAATATTTTTCATGATTACTATCTTCACTTGGAAATACAATGTACTCAGTGGAGAGTATTTACCAGCAATTATATACTTTTACAAAGCCTTTCACACAGAACAAATTATTATGGAAGACAGTAAGAAATTCCATAAGAAAATCATCACTGGTCATTAGTTTGTATCTTGCATACAAGGAATAAAGTGATACTGATAAAGTTCTATATGCTCTGTATTCCCAGGGAAAATAAAACTGGCTTCCAAAAGGTAGCAAAAAAATGAATACTATTGAGTCTTCTTCACTCTATACCTAAAAACCAGTAACATGAAACATTCTTATACTGGAGTTTCATATGTCAAATTATCAGGCACCCACCTTCATTGCAAGAGCAATCAAGGCCCCTTCCGTTGGTTTCCCCATCAGAGTGTTATTTCGAATGACAGCATCATTGCATACACAGCCCGCCTACGAGAAGGAAACATAACGTGTGAACCTGTCGCTGTGCTCTAGGTCATTATGAAGTCACCTTCATAGAAAATAAATTTACCTCAACGATTCTGCTAACAGCTGGGTTATAGAATCCATGAACAACATCACCATCAACCATCACTTCCCCAAATGGATTATAGCCAACTCCAGTAACCTAAGGAACAGAAAGTGGGGTGAGTAACACAACCTGTAGGCAACTAGCCAACAGTGACCGCCCTTACGAAAACCAAAGAAAACGGTCAGTTGTCTTCATTTTAGACATCATGACACTGTTGGAGTATACCAAGAAAAGCATCTGTCTAAAAGAATGTGGAATAGTTAAAGGAATATAAGTCTCTCCACAGTATTAAACCTGTAACTAATTATATTAACAATTACTGTTAATATTATACTAATAACTGTACTAATTGTTGGCACTTAAAAATATACTATAAAAATATAACACATAAATATAACTCATGTTAGTTATATAACATACAAATTGCAAAAAATTTAAATTCATTATCCCATCTAACATTCTTTACAAATCTATGACCTACCCAAAAGAAGAATTCTTTTGCAAATGTGCTAGACTCAGAAATATTTAGTGATTTACTTTAGTATTTACAGATTTACACACAAACTTTAAAAATAAGAGGTAGAAACAGGCTTGGTACTGATTTTGGTGTGATTAGAACCAGGCCAAATAAAGGGTAAATTTCACAACAAAAGAGTAAGTTTAGAGAGAATACATTTCACAGAAAATTATGGGCTTAAAACAAAAGAGAAACTTGTATCCTGCCTTCCAGACCTGGATCACATAATCACATGTGACCTCAGCGAGAATGGGTCATGCAGGTGGCAAATTCAACAACAGAGCACTGGATATTGTTAACCAGATCTAAACACCAAGAGTTTTGTTTAGGGTTCATGCAAAATAGAATTAAACAAACTTATTTACGATTTCTGTCATTTTATCTACAGCTTACTTGGCTCAGAGAATCTGAATTGGTTGTAAATACAGCCTATAAACACTACATCCCTCATAAGTAGTATTAGCATTGCAGAAAAAAATCATGCAGACTAAACTTGTCCTCACACAGCTTCAAAATTAACCAATGTATTAACTATGCAATTGAAGATTGTCCACATGTAATTTTACAGATTAAAAAAATTCATTCATTCATTCTTTTTTTCAAATGTAAAGTAAATCCTAAGTAACAAAGTTGCTGCCTGTTACAACTGATAGTACTGGCAAGAGGGGCAGAACATTTTACTTGGGTCAAGGACTGAGGGATGGAGTGCCATTAGAACATGTCACGAGATCAGCTCTAGGTAATCAGCAGTTTTTCTGCAGAAGTGTAGCTAGAGTTGGGGTATAATGGTGGGGTGCACAAGTGGGGCAAGAAAAGAGGCATTGGGCTGTCCTAGCAAGAGAACAGCAGCAAAGGTCCTAGAGTTGGAATCTGGTCACACTGAAATAACACAATCAGTGTATCTGGTGCACAGAAAGCAAAGGGCAAAGTCTAAGGCTGAATAAGCGGTAAGGACAGAACAAACAGAACTTGAGGGGCCAAGTTCAAGCAGAGCCATGAGGAGTCTCAAGTTAGGG